TTCATGAGATTCTAAGAAACCTAAGTCTTGTCCATCTTTAAATAAAATGCCAAGCATCTGATCTGCCTCCAGTTGGATGAACAAAACAGAGTTGTTTTGAGCCTCTTGGCATCTATGAGTGAGTGGCAAACTTAGGCTGACAGGAACTCGAGTATTTTTTTCCCCATGTATAACAATTTTCTTTGAAACACCAAGAATCTCTTTACATTATGGGATATTTACATAAGAAAGAATTTCCTCCATAAACTTTATAATATATATTGATACAAATATTGACTTTGTTTCTAGTCCCTTAAAGAAAGGGAAGTAATAAATTGAGGTAATTCTCAACCAAATAAACTTACAGTATTTAATGGATATTTATTTTAGAAAGATGAAAAACGCAATAAGCTAAGAAAAACCATTAAAATCAGTTAGTATACCATTGATGGCTAAACGATATAAACATTTGAATACACATACTATAAGATGAATTTTTTCCCTCTGTAAATATGTTGGCTACTTCATAGAACAAAGTGGAAGTCTGTATACTTTCTCCTTGAACATCATTTTTATTGACTGTGTAATATTTCATTGTATAACCTTAGTTCATATTAAATAACCCTTTCTTGATAATTCCTAGATTTCAAATAACCTTTGTTGGTAAATTGACATTTATGAAGCCTTTTTCTCTATAACAGTATTATAAATAGTAGTTTACTTTCTAGGTTAGCTCCTCAAATTCTAATTCATATTTATCACATGGTAAGATGCACCGCTAGATACTTAAAACATACGTTCTGCTTATTGTATCATATTTGTGGAAATCTCTGTAATCCAGTTAGCACCTGGCACAGTGTCAGAGGTAAAACAGGCACTCACCAAAATCTGAATGAATGGGAGATGGAATAGATGGTGTTCACTTTCTGGCCTATGAGAGGAGAGTTGCGAGTGACAGGAAGGACACACTGGATTAGCAGGATTTCCTCACGATTTGTGTCTTTGGCAGTTGTCAGCAGTTCTGCCTCAGACAACCTTGTAAAGACTCCCAGGAGGTCTGTTTATTTGGTACAAACTTGGGGGTAGTGGGAGTGGGGATGTAAAAGATACAGAAAACTTGAACAACAAACTTGACCTAATTTTGTTATTTATTTATTTATTTATTTATTTATTTATTTGAGACTGAGTCTCGCTCTGTCTCCAGGCTAGAATGCAATGGTGCAATCTCAGCTCACTGCAACCTTCACCTCTCTCCTGAGTTCAAGTGATTCTCCTGCCTCAGCCTCCCGAGTAGCTGGGACTATAGGCATGCACTGCCATGCCCGGCTAATTTTTTTTTTTTTGTATTTTTAGTAGAGGCGGGATTTCACTATGGTCTCAAACTCTTCACCTCAGGTGATCTCCCGCCTCGGCCTCCCAAAGTGCTGGGATTACAAGCGTGAGCCATGGCTCCAGGCCCTAATTGATATTTATAGATCATTCCACATAGCGCAAGCAGAATACACATTGTTTTAAGTGCACACAGAATATTTATCATGTTCTGAACCATAAGACAAGGAATTAATGGACTTTAAAAAAAAATAAAAGTTAGGCATATACCTTTCATATGTAGGCATTCCACTTACAAGTATTTATCCAAAAAGAAAGTATACGTTCATTCAAATATTTCTACATGAATGTTCATAGGCATTTTATCTTTAAAAGCCAAAAACTAGAATAACCCAAAATGTCCATCAGCATGTGAATGAATAAACTGTGGTGTATCCACACTACAGAATACTTCTCAGTAATAACAAGGCATAAACTGTTGATACATTCAACAACATGGATGAATCTCAAAGTAAATTTCACTTCATGCTAAGGTAAAGAAGCCAGATGAAAAGGTTACATACTCTGTGGTTCCCTTTGTATAAATGTTTAAATCATACGTACGCATATAAAGAGAGTGATCAGAGCAGTGATTGCCTGGAGGTGGAGAATGGTGGGACAGGGTGGGAGGAAGGATTAAAGGGGCATGAATCTACTTTTAGAGGTAATAGATTGTCTTGGATGCGATGTTTCTTAGGTTACACATATGTCAAAACATCAAATCTTACACTTTCAAGATGTGTAGTTTATTATATATAAATAACCTCAATAAAGCTGTTTATAAATAGATCATAAAATAAGGCATTTAGAATTCTGGGGCTGTTTACATCATTATAGTGTTTATCAAACACACTTAAATGCAAATGGCACAATATTTTACTGTGTACTGTGTTGGGTCAATAAAAGGGACTTGCTTGGTGATTTGTAATTCTGTATAACAAGAAACAAGGAAAAATGTTAGGAATCTAAAAAATAAGGCCAAGTGAGGTGGCTCATGCACATCATCCCAGCACTGTGGGAGGCCTAGATGGGAGGATCTCTTGAGCTCAGGAGTTTGAGATCAGCTTGGGCAACATGTCGAAACGCCATCTTTACAAAAAATTAGCTGGACATGGTAGCACGCCTGTCTGTCTGTCTGTGTGTCTATCTATATCAGTTTGTCTGTCTATCATCTATCTATATTAGTTTGTCTGTGTCTACCTACCTATCTATCTATCTGTCTGTCTGATGTTCTGTTCATTTTTCACTGAGGAATAGTCATGTGTATACATGGTTAACAATTGAGAATTTTCTTTTCTTTTCTTTTCTTTTTTTTTTTGAGACGGAGTTTCGCTCTTGTTACCCAGGCTGGAGTGCAATGGCGCAATCTCGGCTCACCGCAACCTCCACCTCCTGGGTTCAGGCAATTCTCCTGCCTCAGCCTCCTGAGTAGCTGGGATTACAGGCATGCGCCACTATGCCCAGCTAATTTTTTGTATTTTTAGTGGAGACGGGGTTTCACCATGTTGACCAGGATGGTTTCGATCTCTTGACCTCATGATCCATCCGCCTCGGCCTCCCAAAGTGCTGGGATTACAGGCTTGAGCCACCGCGCCCGGCTGAGAATTGAATTTTCGATGGTGTTGCATTCCTATGAGTAGAGAAAGAGAGAGATCGAAAATGTGATAATTCAGTAGCTACTCCTTGCCTATTGAATCAAGATCAAATTCCTGAGCCACTGGCTTTTGATGTTTTGTGTGGTGTGATCCTAAGCTTCTTTTTTAGTTTTGGCTTGTCCTTCCCAGAGAATGTACTGATTTTTCCCCTAGTTCACTGCCTTGGTTACTGCTTTCCTCTGCCTGTGATTGTTATGTATCCCACCTCATCTTTTGGCTCTGTTTGGTAAAATGCTGCATATCCTTTAGATTCTTTTTTGGATGCTTTATCTGGTGTTTCCGCTGTGTTCTGTATTTTAGTAGACACTAAGCCCATAGTGTGTACCCTACACTCTGCACTATATGTATTTACATATGTGTCTTGAATGATTTTTATTAGTGGCACCTAGCCAGGCACCTTGTACATGGTAGGCCTGTTTGTTGATGGTGCCTTAGACACAGTGGGTGGAAGATAGTTTGGCAATTTCTCAATGATCTGGAAGCAGAAGTACCATTTGACCCACCATTCTCATTACTGGGTATATACTCAAAGGAATATTAATTATTCTGTTATAAAGATACATGCATGTGTATGTTCATTGCAGCACTGTTCACGATAGTAGAGAATCAACCCAAATGCCCATCAGTGATGGACTGGATAAAGAAAATGTGGTGCATATATCCCGTGGAATACTATGCAGCCACAAAAAGGAATGAGATCATGTCTTTTGCAGGGACATGGATGGAGCTGCAAGTCCTGTCCTCAGCAAACTTAATACAGGAACAGAAACCCAAACACCGCATGTTCTCACTTACAAGTAGGAGCTGAAGGTTGAGAACACAGGGACACATGATGGAGAAAAACACACATGGGCCTGTGTGGGGCTTGAGGGGAGGAAGAGCATCAGGAAGAATAGCTAACGGATGCTGGGCTTAATACGATAGGTAGATCTGTGCAGCACACCACCATGGCATGCGTTTATCTATGTAACAAACCTGCACATCCTGCACAGGTACCCCGGAACTTAAAAGACCACAGTGAAAGCAATAGTCAGTGAGGTCCTACTGTTACGGAACTGAACAGATGCAGAGTTAATGCATTTTGGTTATTATTTAGGTGCATTGGGCTTAACTTGTACCTTGGTTTCTTTTTTCTTTTTTCTTTTTTTTTTTTGACATGGAATCTCGTTCTATTGCCCAGGCTGAAGTGCAGTGGTGCCATCTTGGCTCACTGCAACCTCCCCCTCCTGGTTCAAGCAATTCTCCTGAATCAGCCTCCCGAATAGCAGGACTACAAGCGCATGCCACCATGCCCGGTCAATTTCTCGTATTTTTTGTAGAGATGGGGTTTCACCATGTTAGGTAGGATGATCTCTATCTGCTGACCTTGTGTGATCCGCCTGTCTTGGCCTCCTAAAGTGCTGGGATTACAGGCGTGAGCTACCATGCTTGGCGTGTACTTGCACATTTATTAAAGTTATCGTAATTAATGCCAGTGAGGAAAGCAGCAACAAGACAAGCAAGAGGAAGTAAATTGTTTTTATATTATTTTTGAAGCACATTATATTGGCCATATATTTAGGGCAGAGGAGTGGCAGATTTACTGTGCTCCTGTCACTTTTTTTCTTAAAGTAATATTTAAATTGTATGGCGCCTCCTCATCCTCCACGTTTTTAGAACTGTGCAGTGGCTAGTTGGGACAAGTTAGTTTGTAAATTTAAATCAACCAGATGTAATTCATTCTGAATAATTCATAATAGAAATATTCAAGAGTTGGCTTAGGGAATGCACCTTAAGATTACACAGAAGGCTGCATCTCTCCTAAAATTTGAAAAGGGGAAAAAAAAAGAGTTGGCTTAGTGGTATCTTAACAGTAAAGTATTCATTGTATCATGGAAAGAGCATGAATTTAGTATGAGTTGTGGAATATTTGGAGTAATAAGTTTTTGAGATTTCAGGTGAAAGTTAACTCTCTGGAGTGTCCACACCCTTGATCACTTCTTAAATTTATTTTTCCAGGTCCGGACCCTATTTGTCAGTGGTCTTCCTCTGGATATCAAACCTCGGGAGCTCTATCTGCTTTTCAGACCATTTAAGGTACCTTTTTTATCTTTCAGAAATCATAAAATGAGACAAAATTCTGTGTGCTTCCTGGGGGCTTGTTGGAGCAAGAAATGAAATAGTTGAGAAAGCACTTCGTATAGTGATGTTTTTAAAAGGTTAATGAGTAAAGGAGATTTAACAACTGAGTTCTAATGTATAGCCTCACTTAGGATAATAGACTGAAAGTACCTCTGGACCTCCAACAGGCAGTCTAGAAAAGTCTGTGCTCTTGCTGATGTGCACATGCATCTGGCTGTCTATCTGTATTTCATGTAGAGCAGCCTTAGGGTCCTTCCTGTTTGTCCTCTAATTGGGAGTGCCCTTCTTAGAATAGATCACCAAAAAATTATAAATTACATTTTTACATTTCAGATGGCAATGATGTAAGTGAAGATTTATTCCAAAGTTCCTACCTTATTAGTTGAAATACTACCGTTGATACTGTTCTTTGGAAATGTAAATAGGTTTTTATGAACTGGGTTAAGAACCTAACCACCATTACTTTTTTCCATGGCAAAAGTGTCCCTAAGTTTCAAAGCAAAACAAAATTTTAAAGGATACCTAGTTATGAGTTGAGGGTAATATTTCCTGATGTTTATTGAAATAGTTAATGCAGTTACCTGTCATTCCTTTGGAAATAAGATCACTTGATAGATACTTAGTGTTGCTAGGATTGAAAACTTAATAGGAAATTAGACACCAAGGACATAGTAGAAACTAAACTGAAATAATCATGCTGGCAAGAGGAAACCTTTTGAAGGTTGGCCTTTGGAGGATAGAAGAAAACTGGAAGTGACTGAATTGAGGCCCTGGAAAGGATAATAAGTTCAGGGCCTATGTTCAGGAAGTCTGAGTTGGTTAGCGTGGATGTGTTAGCGGCAGTGCCTGGCAGGGACTGCACTTATGATTAGATGATAGGCTATCTTGCTTTCTGGCTAAAGATATCCTCATTGAAGCAGGTCCCCAGCAATAGAGGCGTGACAGGTTGAGGGAGAGGATTCAGCTTCTTGGTGGAAAGCGAACAGGATATGACAACTAAAAACTCTTGTGTTGAAGAAGAGGAAGGAGGGTTGTAGGGGCAGCCAATTAAAACCAAGATAAAATAGTATAGCTTATGTGCCAAGAGGGCACCATGTCATAAGGAACATAACTCCAAAGACCTGACAGCCATCCCTTTAATGCAACAATAATGACGATGGCACAGGGAAACAGAGGTCAGGTGCCAGGTCTGGTGGGAGGAAGTAGGAAAGGAAGAGAAGGTGTTGCGGAGAGTGTGCCACCTTTTATAGAATTCCTGGGTTTCTTCTTCAGGGTTGTACTTTTATAAAAGGGACAACTTTTCTATCCTTTTTTATAGAATGCAGACTTTTAAAGTTAATTGATATTCTTAGTGTATAAAATACTGTTATGTTTTGGGGTGTATAGAGAGAAACACATTCAGCCAGCAAGCCCCTTATGTGAATTATCTCATTAAAGTATTGTCACAATTCTTTCAAGTGGGTGGGTCTCATTTTTTCAAATGAGGAAAATGAAATTTGGAGCAATTGAATAAATTGTGCTCAAGTTTATACACATAAAAAATGATAGAGTCAAGATTCAAGACCAGGTTGTCTGACTCTGCCGTCCCTGTTCTGAACTATTATGTTACACTGCATCTCTGTTTGTGACTTGAGAACACAGTATATCCCTACCAGTGGTGTTTTGCTTGAGTGAAATATCCATTTGTCCTTTGAGACCTTCATGGTGCTTAAACCTCCAGTTTTTTTCAGAAGAGAGCACCTTGAAGAAACAAAGAGGCAGAGCTGTGAATCATGACCTCTCTGGCCATAAGAGCCCAAGGCCATTGAGGTGAAATGTTTATAGTAGCTAATTGGTAACATAGTTCTGTGCTGGGAAGATGTAAGGATGAATCAATCTCAACATCCTGCCCAGAAACTGTGACGATAAAGTCAGGACCCTAGTACATTCCTGACAGCCCTCTTTTAATTAAAGTCCCTGGAAGCTGACTCTAGTCTGCAGATCTGTCTCCGCACTGATATATTTAGTGGTCAATCATGTCAAGTGATGTGTTTTTCCCCTGTGTCATCCATTAATGCAAGCCACCAGCTATTGATTATTTTCAGAAATAAACACATTTTGTTATCCTGAGGAGCTGGGAGGGGTGAAGAGAAGGAGTGAAAGGGAGGGAGTGTTTCTGTCTTCCTAGAGCAGAGCTGGAATAAAAACCCAAAAGTTATTTTTGCATGTCCCAATCAGAATAGCAACATGAAAACTGTTTCCTTCAGTAAGTAAGCAAAATAACTCAACAAAATTCAACACCATTGTCTGCTTAACCTTTTCTGACATTTTTGAAAATTTGGTCAGGGAGTTTTACCAACTATATTTTTAATGTTTTATTGTTGTTACCTTACAGCAGATATGACCAAATCAACACATGCTTTGACCTGTTTTACCTTCTTTCCTTGCCTAGTTCTGTAAAACCCCTATTCTTATCTAGACCAAGAAAACAAAAAGATTATTGTTAACACAGACACTAATTTTTCTACCATTGTATAATTTGATGAAAAAAAGAAGAGAAACACACATATATAAATCCATAGACTGATTTTTTTTTAAAGGCCCCAAGAATGTAAACAGGTGGGTGTGCATGCGCACATGCATGTGTGTAATTTGCTTTCCCAGATAACTTAGGAGACATTTGTAAGAGGAGTTAGGTAATCAATAAAGAATTTATTTTTACATGAACAAGATGGTATTACAATTACTTTTTTGGCTAAACTTGGTTTTTCTTTATTTTCAGGGCTATGAGGGTTCTCTTATAAAGCTCACATCTAAACAGGTAAGAATTTCAAACTGGCATATAAAGATCACTTTTTTTACTTTCTTCAGGAATGTTGTTGGGGCTTGACATTCTTTTTTTATTCCCATTAGAATTTGAGGTTTTTTTTTTTTTGGTTTTGCTTTTTGTTTTTTGCCTTTAAAATTAAGAATGAGATGTATTAGGAATTAGCACAGGAAAATGTTTCGTAATTCTATAGTCTTCAGCCGGAATTTCAGGGACTGTCCCAGAGCAAGATAAACACAGTGGTTTATTGAGATTGATTTGCTGAATCATTGAAAATAATGGCTTATTATTTAAATTACTTTTATTCCCACGTCTTTTTCATTTCTTTTTATGAGGTTAAACAAACTTTTACAATCAATGTGAATATCAGATAGTGAAGGATCATGCTGTCTGTCAAACCCCTGAAGTAAGTCAAACCCCAGGTCTAGAATGGAACAGAGAAGGTACAAAATGGAGGTGGTAGTCAGTGATTCTGATAGTTCCTACAAGTTTCTTAGAGATTGTAGCTATATTCTTTTTTACTTTTTTCTTTCTTTTTTTTTTTTAAGCTAAACACTTGGCATACACACCTCTCCTCCAGTCACTGTTCATCTCTCTCGTTCATCAGAAGAATGATCTTGGAGGCGCACCCTTCTAGATTGATAGATGTATGGAGTCCAAAGGGGTTATGGCCTTCCTATATTTACTCGGAACAGCCTAATTAAGCACAGAATTTTTAAGGCATCCCCTGGGATTTGAGATAGGAATGTTCACTTTGTAATTTTGGTCATGCAGTGAGAGTCCAGGGGTTTTATCATTGTATCATTGTATTCCTTGCACTTACAGTGTACCAAAAGGTGATTCGGTTCTCTTTCCATTTTAAAAGATGAAGAAACTGAGGTACAGTGAATTTGATTTAGGAAAGTAGAGCCTCTCCGACCCAAGTTTTCCTCTATTCCCTTTTTCACTGCTGTTCACCTTTCAACCACTTCTAGATTTTTTTATGATTCTCTAAATCCCCAGCTGTGCCCTTGAAGAACCACCCTCACCATCCCTTTGATTCATGTTAGAAATTTGGCTAAGCCACTGAGTTCTGATTTTTCGGTATTTCGCTTTCTTATTTCTACCCATTGCCTGTGATCATTTCTTTGTCTTAGCTTTTCAGTTTGATAGCACCCTTAACCCAGAAAAATAGATACCATCTGATTTTTTTTTTTCTTCTTCATATTTCTCTTTTTTTCCTCAGCCCGTAGGTTTTGTCAGTTTTGACAGTCGCTCAGAAGCAGAAGCTGCAAAGAATGCTTTGAATGTAAGTATTAATGATGTAATTGTAGGCGGTTTCCATGTGAGGTGGTGGGAAGTAGTGGAATCTCTTTGGACGGGAAGTCAAGTGGAAAGAACATGACTGCTCAATCTAAGAGAGAGGGATTCATCAATTTATTTAGCCCTCTAAAGAGCTTTTTCCAAGAATTGTGATCAGATGTGCTCAAAGTACCTGACATCTGATGATGTGGATCTTATTTTAATCCAGCCCCATCCCATCCCATCCCATCCCATCCCATGGTGGTGTGTAGCGCTGCTTTGTTTTTTCCAGAGGAGATCATTCAGAGATTGGCTTGGTAATCATTATACTCGAAATGGCCACGCCCAGAACAGATAGAAATCCTGGCCTTTTTTTTTTTTTTTTTTTTGGAGACAGAGTCTCGCTCCATCACCAGGTGCCAGGCTGGAGTGCAGCGGCACCACCTTGGCTCACTGCTACTTGCGCCTCCCGGGTTCAAGCAGTTCTCCTGCCTCAGCCTCCCGAGTAGCTGGGACTACAGGCATGCACCACCACGCCCAGCTAATTTTTTTGTATTTTTAGTAGAGACGGGGTTTCACCATGTTGGCCAGGATGGTCTCGATCTCTTGACCTCGTGATCCACCCACCTCGGCCTCCCAAAGTGCTGGGATTACAGGCGTGAGCCACCACGCCTGGCCGAAATCCTGGCTTTTCTTATTTCATGAGGCTTTCCTTTTCGATATACAGCTTAAAACAAACAAAAAAACTAGTCATAGCCTTTATTCTGGAAGGCTTTCCTGAAAGGCATGTGTGTTAGAATAAATTACAGTCATTTGTAATTAAGTAGGTACACCTGTATTTGGTTTGTAGGTATGTTTGCCGTGTGTTTTGAGACTTTTGCCAGTATTGTTTTGGTAAACAGGTTTCTTCTTTCGTATGTTGGAAAATTAAACAACTTAAGGGAATTAAGCTTAGAGAAGGTGAAAGGAAGCAGAATGTAGTTTCAGATGCTGAGAATGAATCCTCAGGTTTGGAGTCTCAGTGAAGTCTGGCTCCATCGTGCTCTAGGCAGTTGGCCTAAGTGGCTGTGAACAAGGACTGATTAAAGCACTGAGAGTGTTTAGGATGCTTCCTAAAAGGCAAGCAGCCACTTGACTGGTTGCAATACAGGTACCATTTTGGAGCCTTCTGGGAACTTGTGTTTGGTCTTTGTGTTGATGTATTATCTTAGGGTACCCTACTGGCTAGCTGCTCCTTTGAGCAGACCATGTAGAGGGGTGTTGGAAATACATGATATAGGTAATGACTTGGAGGTCCAAGGAAAAGTCTTTATATGAGTCTGTTTACTTCGTATAATAGTGTCATTGATAGACAACATTAAAAGATTTTAGACTTTGGAACAAAAATGTGTATACTCTGGGAAGAAACTCCTTACTTGTTGTTTTCTTCATATAAAGCACATAGGAACACCTTAGAATTCCAGGAATTCCAAAGTCCAGAATTTTTCTGGATTTGACTGGTCAGAATAACTGCCTACTCACACTGTTCCTCTCCTCTAGAACAAAGTAGAAACCAGTTATTTATTGAACACCAATGGTATACACTGAACCACGGTATATAATGGAATGTTTTGATTTAAAAAAAAGTTTTATGGTTCTGCATTAAATACATAAAACCTGAATTTTCTCAGTATAATGACATTTTAAACTTGAAAATAGAACCACAGTTTCAATTTAGCAGGGTTTTATTTTAACCAGGTGGACACCTTCTAAATGCAGAAATATTCTGAGTCCTTTAAAGTTACGTTAGATGAAGTTTCCACCATGTTCTTTTCATTGTTCTTAAAAAGGAAGTAACAAGCAGTTGAAGCTTCACAGTCTTGGCTCTCATTGCTTTACTGTATTTCTCCTGTGTGTACAGAGATGTCACTGACTCATTTTCCGAACAATAGGCTTTTATCGTGACCTCTCATCTGACAAGGCAGCATTCCCTTAGGTGGTAGGTTGCATTTTTGTTTTTTAAAGATAACTTAAGGGTTTTGTTTGTTTGCTTAATTAAAAAAAAAAAACAAAAAAAAAAGGCAGGGTTCCGCTATGTTGCCCAGGCTGGTCTCAAGCTCCTGGACTAAAGTGATTCTCCTGCCTTGGCCTTCCAGAGTGTTTAGATTACAACGTTAGCCACCACACCCAGCCTGCAGGTTGTTTGTTTTTTCTTTTTTCTTCTTTTTTTTTTTTTTTAAATTTGGAACGCTTCATGAATTTGCTTGTCATCCTTGCTCAGGGGCCATGCTAATCTTCTCTGTATCGTTCCAATTTTAGTATACGTGCTGCCGAAGCAAGCATGGTTGTTTGTTTTTTAATGTTTAAATGGTAATAGTCAAAAAACTGTTTCCTTGCCATACTAACTAGAGTACAGTGAACATAATCAGTTTTTCTTGATGCCCAAAGGTTACTACAAGTAGCAGGTAATGAACCTACTATAATATAATGGTAGAGGTGTTTAACCCTGTTTTCCCCTGTGCCAGCTGGCCACAGATCACTTGTTTGGCCCTGAGGTCTGATTTTAGGTTATTCTTCTTGCACTCAGCTCTCCATTCTAATTTTTCACTGGCAGTGAGCCTTTCTTTAGCAGTATCCTCTCCTGTTTGCTACATTAATACTGTTTGCTGCTCATGAGTTACTAACTTGGGAAGGATCCCAAATGAAACAGGTCTAATTCTGTCCTGTTCTATGGGCCTCACCTAAAGAAAACTTCATATTTACCTGTGGAGTAATGAGCCTGGGCTTTCTACTGTCCAGGGCTGACTTACATAAGAATATAGGGTGTTTACTGATCTCATAGCTGATCCCTTTCTTGACATTTTAAACTTTTCTGTGTAAAGTAGTAGAGGTATTAGAAATCTTCCTAATGTTGAGTACTGATAGAGGTTGATCCTTAATAAACATGTTACAGTACAGTAAGGAAGAAAGAAAAAATCTTCCTAATGTTATGGTTAGGGAAAGAGACCTAGAGAGGATGGGTAATTGAGTCAGCATGTGTAGGTTTAGAGCTCCAACGAGGAGGCAACTAAAAGTAAGCTTCCTGCGTCTCATCCCTGTCCATTTTATACAACATCTTTTTGCTTGCTTTGTACATGGGATGTTGCTGCATTTTTCCTTGTGGCAGTGACAGACTGTTCAATTCACATTGTCCGTGATAAATTGCCACCATAAAGTTTGGTATGTGACCGTGGAGCAGACTCATTCAAGGTAATGTATTTAATCATGAAGCTCATAGGTGTATTCTTTGTGGCCCAACATATTAGGCTCTTTTCAGGGTTATCTTTTCGAGTTGATGAGTTAAAAACATACGATGCTTGTATGTCATCTGTCCAGGGTTCGCTTAACATTTTCTTAAATTCCTTTGGAGAGAGTCAGTGTTGTAATGTTTTGTTTTATTCCACTATTGAGAAACATACACCTGAATCCCATACGTTTCTCTGTGTAGAATAGTTCAGTATTATGAACCACTTCTCCATGTTTGGAGCTTCTGTTTTTGTTGTTTCTGTCTTGATTGCTATCTGGTTCAGTTGTTAGTATTAATGATTAGCCTTTTCTCAAAATGACTGATTTTTAGAATATTTTCTTCCATTTTTGGACTGGGCTTCAGTCATTTTGATAACTTTATGGAAAAACATGCTCAAATTGAATTAAGTGGTAACACTGAATTTTAATCGGGGAATTACTCAAACCTTCTAAAGTTAAATGCAGTATGTTTTGTTTCTATAGCAAAAAGTCCGAAGTTAGGCAAAAAATAACCCAAACCCAGACTTCTTTTCAGGTTATCTTTGGTCCCATTAATCCACATCATTAGAAACCCCATCCATTCTTTAACCTGACAGCAAAATATCTGACCTATTCTTTGTCTTTCACTCACTCTGTAAATTTCTGTACCTATTTTGAATTTCTGAGCTAAAGGAAAGGGGCACTGACAATCTTAAGTATCAAATTATTTTTAGGACTTGTTTATGATTTGGGAAAGTAAATTAAATACACTAATATAGGGAATTAGTTAGGTTTAGGAAAAATTCTGATTTGTGGAAATTTTTTTTTTTTTTTTTTTTGAGACGGAGTTTCGCTCTTGCTACCCAGGCTGGAGTGCAATGGCGCGATCTCGGCTCACCGCAACCTCCACCTCCTGGGTTCAGGCAATTCTCCTGCCTCAGCCTCCTGAGTAGCGGGGATTACAGGCACGCGCCACCATGCCCAGCTAATTTTTTGTATTTTTAGTAGAGACGGGGTTTCAGCATGTTGACCAGGATGGTCTCGATCTCTCGACCTCGTGATCCATCCGCCTCGGCCTCCCAAAGTGCTGGGATTACAGGCTTGAGCCACCGCACCCGGCCTGTGGAAATTTTTAAAAGGAATACAGGAAGCAGATCATGTTGAAAGGTAAAGATCCCTAACAAATGTGGGAGTAAACCATCTCTAGCTATTCCCAGCAACTGAGAGGACCTCAAATTGTCATTGTTGTCTAGTAGGAATCTTGTCTTCATAAAGGAGAATGATTTGTAGTTAACCTTCAATTCATCAGGCTTATGCATTATCTCTGCTAATCTATGCATGACCTCTGTAATGACCAATTTCCAAACACCAGTAAGACAAGACAATGGTGAAACAAGACAATGCCTGTTACGGCATCCTCTTGTCTTACTGGGTGTTTGGAAATTGGTCATTACTTTAAAGAGTTGTGGACTCTTTAGTATATGTGTCATTCATTTGCTGTCCTTCCTTCCCTGATTTTGTATAGTTGTTATTGGGCTAGGTTTTATCTTAGACTGTATTATAATTTATTATGTGAGAACTAGAGAATTCTTTGTATATCACTGCAAAATGCCTTCCTAACTAAACATTGCTTAGGCTAGTGTAGTAATTTGCTTTACTCTCAAACTATACTCAGATTTCTAAGTGATCTTCAATTAACAGTGAACCTCCAAGTTCAGTGTTGTTTTTTCCAGATAGTTTTTGAGATATAATTTGCATATGAAT